TTCAAAACATATCACAAAATCCACAAACCACAAGCTACTACATGGTGCCTAGCAAGCACTAAGAGCTCAGACAAAGGTCAGCTGTCAAGAAACGTGAATGAAGACTACAGTGAGGTGGCAAAAAACGTTCCTGATAACCCATCCTATTGGTGAAAAAAAGGAAACACCCTCAAATACTGCTGACTGGCATGTACAAGGGTATGACCTCTACACAGGACAATTCGGCAATCAGCATCAGAATTTAAATTACATATAACCTTAGGTCCAGCAACTATACTTCTAAAAACTCATACTAAACATAAACTGGAACAGTAGTTCTCAACCTGGGGCAATTGATTCTACCCACCTTGGAACCATCTGGTAATGTCCGTAGACAGGAATCAAAAGAAAAGACATTAGATTTGAACCCTAACTTGATCACCTTACTAGTCTGTGTGCGTGTGTATGTGTGCTCTGCTCTTCAGTCAGGTCTGACTCTTCTGCAACCCTGTGGACCACAGCCCGCCAGGCTGCTCTGTCCTGGGATTCCCCAGGCAAGAAGACTGGAGTGGGCTGCCATTTCCTCCTCCAGGGGATCTTCCCAACCCAGGGATCGAACTCCAGTCTCCTGTACTGGCAGGCAGATTCTTTACCAGTCACCCCACTGGGAAGCCCAGTCTGTTATTTTGGGTAAATTACTTAAATTTCTTTAAGCTTCTGTTCAACAACACCTACCAAAAAAACTATTCACTTTTCACAGTGCCTAGAACAAGTGAAATTCACTCAGTTGTTGCCAACTTTTTGCGACCCCATAAAGTCCATGGAGTTCTCCAGGCCAGAGTACTGGAGTGGGTAGCCTTTCCCTTCTCCAGGGGATCTTCCCAACCCAGGGATTGAATCCAGGTCTCCCGCACTGCAGGCAGATTCTTTACCAGCTGAGCCACCAGGGAAGCCTAGAACAAGGGAAATGTTCAAAACACATCAAGTGTTATTACTACTATGCCAAGTTCCTGTTACTACAGAGAAGGGGCACTGGAAGGTGTTTCCCAAGAAGTCACGACGTAACACTAAGGAGAAATCTGTTTTCGACACTACTGCTGCAGGAAGATGTTTACAACCCTGAAGATGGCTAGAGCAAGCCACAACTTTATTAGTCAATCACTGAGAATTCTAATCCAAGCTCTTCTAATGGCGTAAATTATTGAGCCTTGGAAGAGTTAAGTGACTGAGATGAGCCACGAAGCTGGCCTGTTAGAGGCAGGACTACACCTCAGATCTGCATCCCCCTCTCAGGGTCTTTCTGTGCCCTAGGCTGGCCTCTCCTTTGCTCTGAAGCAAGTATCCACTTTTCTGAGTTCACTCGGTCAGGTCACAGACCCAGCAAATGCCCCCATTTTGATAAGATGGTAAATAAAGGCACGCACACAGAGGAAATGTACGCTGGGGTGAATCTGATGTTGAGCGTGTCAGAGGAGTGGAGTGTAAGAAACTTGCTTGAGTAGGATGTTGCTGCCCAGGAGGAAAGGTGTAAACAGCTTTCCGAGGAGACGGGGCAGCCCAGAGCTGCTAGGTGAAGCAAATCTGAACTGCTGAAAAACAAGGGATACGCTTACAGCCAACAGCAATCCTGGATAGAACAGATGGTCTCAGACAAAGCCAGGATATGGCGGACTCAAGGATGATTCAACTTACTGGGAAGAAGACAGGAATATGGTCAGCTTCAGGGTCATGGTCTTAACTGAGGTCAACCTCAGTTAAGGCCTAAATATTTTCTCCTTGCCCGGAAAGGCCTCCCGTGAGTTGGATCTGGGTAATAAGTAACGGGGAACCAAGTTCAACATAAAGCAACGTCACTGGAAAAGAAAAAAAAGGACAAAGATACAAGACACATTGCTATTCTGGGGTAATCAGTTGAAGAAAGGGCAATTTGATTTTCTGGGGCTGTAAGACCCTGAACAATGCTCTCAGAACTCCATTTCAAAATTGGTGCTTTGATATCTGAGTATTGTATGTGTAATTGGAAGCATCTTCCTGCTCTTCTTTTTTCAAGATCTTTCTGTCTGGTTTATTTTACTTGGCATAATCCCTTTGAGAACCATTCAGGGCTGCCCATGGCAGTCCCTACTGCTGAACTGTTGCCTGGGTAGAACAGGCCACAGCTTCTTTACACACTCACCCAGCAAATGGTCCTTCCAGTCAGGGACTGTTACAAATAAAGCCGCTACCTACCAGCCATGTAAGGACACACACTTTCACTTCTCCTGGATAAACACAAATACCGAGGAGTGGAAAGAGGTAGCATTTAGCTTTTGATGAAACTGCCAAACCGGTTTCCGAACGGGTTGGACCATCTTGTGTTAATTCTCACCAACAGTGTCTGAAAGTTCCATCTGCTCTACATCCTCACCAACACTTGTTACAATCAATCTTTTTAACTTTAGACAGGCTAATAGATGTGAGGGGGTATCTCATAGTTTTGTGTTTCCCTCGTGACCAATGATATGAAGCATCTTTCGTGTGCTTACCAGCCATCTGTATGTTTTCACTGGTGAAGCGTGCAAATCTTTTGCCTATTTTTTATTGGGTTATTTTATTATTGAGTTTTGTCACTAGTCATTTTTTAAAAGTCAAGCTCCCTCACCCCTATGACTAAGCAATCTTACTTAAAATGAGAAAGCATTTCATCACAAAAGCAAAATCTGTGAAACACGGGGGACTTCTTTGTTCAACTTGCCACAAGGTACCAACAACCCTAAATAGGCAAAGAGAAATCACCTCAACAGGAAAGAAAAAAACAAACTCATGACCAAAACCACAAACTTGGATGTCCCTGATGGCACAGTGGATGGGAATCTGACCACCAATTCAGGGGACAGGGGTTCGATCCCTGGTCTGAGAAGATTCCATCTGCCATGGAGCAACTAAGGCTGGGCCCCACAGCTGCTGAAGCCTGAGCTCTAGAGACCACACTCGGCAACAAATAAGCCACTGCAGCCCGAAGCCTGTGCATGGCAACGAGGAGCCGCCCCCGTTCACCGAAATTCGAGAAAGCCCGCTCACACAATAAAGACCCAGTGCAACGGAAAAAAAAACTCCAACCTCAGACCTGCATTCTACCAGGAACATAAAACGCTCTTTCATCTGTGTTCGGTTGACAGTGGTTCTGTGCTGCCCAACACAGCGGCCACTAACCACGTATAACCCCTGAGCACTGGGGAACGTGGACAGTAGAAATTGAAATGAGCTGTAAAAACAGACACTGGAATTTCAATGATTTAAGGTGAAAAACCAGGAATGTAAAAGATCTCATTAGGAGCTTGTATGTTACTGAAACATATACATTACTGTATGTAAAATTAGCCAGCCAGTGGAAATTTGCTGTATGATGCAAGGAGCTCAACTCTGAAGTCCCTGATGGCACAGTGGATGGGAATCTGACCACCAATTCAGGGGACAGGGGTTCGATCCCTGGTCTGAGAAGATTCCATCTGCCATGGAGCAACTAAGGCTGGGCCCCACAGCTGCTGAAGCCTGAGCTCTAGAGACCACACGCTGCAACAAATAAGCCACTGCAGCCCGAAGCCTGTGCATGGCAACGAGGAGCCGCCCCCGTTCACCGAAATTCGAGAAAGCCCGCTCACACAATAAAGACCCAGTGCAACGGAAAAAAAAACTCCAACCTCAGACCTGCATTCTACCAGGAACATAAAACGCTCTTTCATCTGTGTTCGGTTGACAGTGGTTCTGTGCTGCCCAACACAGCGGCCACTAACCACGTATAACCCCTGAGCACTGGGGAACGTGGACAGTAGAAATTGAAATGAGCTGTAAAAACAGACACTGGAATTTCAATGATTTAAGGTGAAAAACCAGGAATGTAAAAGATCTCATTAGGAGCTTGTATGTTACTGAAACATATACATTACTGTATGTAAAATTAGCCAGCCAGTGGAAATTTGCTGTATGATGCAAGGAGCTCAACTCTGATGCTCTGTGACAACCTAGAGGGGTGAGACGACGCAGTGGGAGGTAGGAAGGAAGTTCAAGAAGGAGGGGACACCCACACACCTATGGCTGATTCATGCTGATACATGGCAGAAACCAACACAATACTGTAAAGCAATTATTCTCCAATTAAAAATAGATAAATTAACAAAGGGCTTGTATGCTGATTACATGTTGAACAGATACTCTGGACAATTTGGGTTAAATTATTAAAATTATTTCACCTGTTTTACTTAGCACTGACCACAAACTTTGAAGGCAGACCTTGAAGATAATGAAATCTCCAATGGGTAAGGAAAAAAATACATGCCAAGTATCTTCCCCTCCCTAGTCCTCTGAGGTGTGAAGAGAACTCTGCAAAGCAGGGGCTAAGAACTGGACTCAGGAATCCAGTCTGAGGCTGGACGCTCAGCTCTGTTCCTCTCTGCTCTGTGTGACTGCCAATAAGTCATTCGCCTTCTGTGGATTTAAGTCCCCTTACTGGTTTTTTGGTTTGTTTTTCTATTTAAAACGTCAACATAAGTATACTATATGCCTATGGTTTACAAAGTACTTTTCTGGAGTTGCAGATCTTGAGCTCACAGTTTAATAGGAAGCAAATACCCTAACAACTCTTATGTACAACAAATGCTTCAACAGAGCAGGCCAGCCTCCACATGGCTGGTGGCGTGTGCATGTCCATGTTTTATATAGGAAAGAGCGCCTTAAAGGACTTATGGGGAATCCCAAGCTTCTCCTAACTCTAAAATTCATTCCTCATGCTACAGTAAGTGTTATTATGCAGGGCACTGATGACACTTGCTCAGGTACCCACCCTGCCATGAGCCTAATGATACAGTGAGAAGTAAATGACCTGCCGTGATGAGGTTGTTTTACCTAAAGAAACAATTCTGCAGTACAGCTCAAGCTTGACCAGGACCATGTTCTCTAGCACACACCACCTTCGCCCCTCAAAAAAAAAAAAAAAAATAACAATTCCCCCCAACCACCCCATGTCTTCAGGGGTAATGGTTTACCAAGATACCCAGATGCTGTTCACTGGAGCTGCATTTCCATAAGCTAGATGTGCATGACAATTACTGTATTTAGGTCACAAACTCACAGAAGAAAAGTCCATCCTGAAAGTAAATTTATAAACAATTATGTCATATCATACAAACTGAACTTATAAGCAAACTCAGAGAAGTCTACATACAAGAATTCACAGCATCCCTCGGGCAGCATTTAAGGGTAAAAAAAAAATTAAGGCCCAGATACTGAATTTACCTGTCTTACTTGAGACAAGGAAACTTAATTGGATAAAGTACACTAGAAAATGCAGATTATGGTTTAAAAGAAAAAAAGTCTAACCCATAATACAACACACGCAGTGCTGGATTCTTATCTGCTCACATCAAGGAAGGATATTTTATGGGAGCACGCTATTATTTTCCAGGCTACCAAGAGCAAAACATCAAGGGTAAGTAAGTAAGTTGCTCAGTCCTGTCCAACTCTCTGTGACCCAATGGACTGTAGCCCACCAGGCTCCTCTGTCCATGGGATTCTCTAGGCAAGAATAGTGGAGTGGGTTGCCATTGCCTTCTCCAGGGGATCTTCCCAAACCAGGGATCAAACCTGGGACTCCTGGGTTCCAGGCAGATTCTTTACTATCTGAGCCACCAGGAAAACCAAGGGTTAACCCCCCTAAAAATCATTCCAGTTTCTCTTAGTCACACTTCATTAAATAGCTATGAGTGTAATCTAAATCTTCAAGTTTGTTCTCATTCTCAGTCTGGAACTCCACTTTTAAGGTCAGCATCTTCCCATGTTTCCTCAAAGCAATGGTGAGAACTCAATTTATCCCAAGTCTAGCTTAAGAAATAATTTAAGGCCTATCCCAAAGTTTCATTTATTCCAGATTTTGGCAGAAAGGATCATATTTGCCCACCCTAGCCCTTCGTTGGAAGAGTTTTCAATCACAGCCCTTTCACACTTTTCTCTTTTCCAGAAAAAAACGCCAAAGGCAAGCAGCAGGGTACAGGAGGAAGACTAGATGCGGCCTTGGGAGATGTCTTTTCCAGCCTCAGTTCAACCTCTCACTTCCTGCAGATCAGGACAAGTCACTGAACCTCTCTGGGCCTTGAGGCCTCATCAGAAATGAAAGTTAAGACAAGATGCTCTGGAAGCTCTCATCCCCACCTTTTGTTTTAACCTGTCCTCCAGTCGCTTAATTATTTTAGATGTCTTTTCCGATCCTTCTTCAATGCAATTGTGTGTTTCTGAGTTGAAGGCCTTGTAATGGTAGGCTCAGTCCCAATGCAGTCATAAAGTAAGATTTTTATTCTGACTCTTAAGCTACTTTTGACATCAAGGATTTATCCCAGAGATATGGGGGTGGCATGAGTGGGATGAGACGAGCTCAGTCATAGGTGAGCTCGTGAGTTTGGCTGAGGCATACACGCTGGTTCACTGCTCCATCTACTTCTCTGTCTGAAATTCTAACTACAAGATTAAAAAAAAAATCGTGAAAACGAGAAAAGACTATCCAACTGGCATTAACACAGGGCTCTTTTTCTACAATCTTTGGTCTAAGGATAACTGCTTTTGATGCCATTTCTCTTGGTTTGAGGTAGACTCTACACGACACGGGGCTGAGGTACTCGAACTTCAACCAAAATTAAGGGAAAAGAACCAGAAAGGGAAATTCTTCAACGGACCTCAATAAGGTTATTCACAAGCAGGTCCACACGGCACAGAGACCTTCCCTGGGCGGTGAGGCACTAAGGTCCGGTACGGGGCTGTCTTCCACAGAAGTGTGGTGTTTCATAAGGTCTACATTTTCCCTAACTTTTCAACGGCAAGAGTTAAAAGCCCTCGGTGACACGGTAAGCCAGGAAATAAACTAATTCCTCTGGGAGGAGGATGCTTTGCGGGTCGTGAAATCAAAACGGAAAGGCAAGGATTTTGAGGCTTGAGAAATCCTCAAGAAAAGCAAAATGGGGCTCCTTTGGGTATCAAGAGCGGAAAACCGACATCCCGATGCCGCCTCAGCCGTTACGGCGAAGGCGCCTCCCCGCGACCTCTCACACGCCGGGGGCGCGGGGACGCGGGGGCGCGGGCCCGGCCCCGGACGGAGGGCGCGGCGAGGACGGGCGGGCCGCTCCACCGCCCGGAACCCCCCACCCCGGCAGCGGCAGTGGTGCCTCCCGACGCCGGGGCGGCGCAGGGAGAGGGCNGCTGGAGGGTGAAGACCGTTGCCCTGGCCGGGCTAGCTGCTGCAGAGACCAGTGTATTGAGCGCCGTGGGCGCTCCTGGCGCGTGCCTTCCTGAGACTCCAGCTCTAATAAGGGGAAAGTGAAAAAGTGAAAGTGAACTCGCTCAGTCGTGTCCGACTCTTTGCGACCCCGTGGACAGTAGCACACCAGGCTCCTCCATCCATGGGATTCTCCAGGCAACGAAACTGGAGTGGGCTGCCATTTCCTAAAGACGGGTCTCCACGCTTCTGCGCTGCGCCAGGACCTGAATACTGGCTGCTTCGCCCTAGGAACACTCGTTGTAGGTTCTGAAGAGAGTGAAATCAGCCCTGATGAGCTAAAAGAGGCTTGAGTCACCAAACGGCCTTGTCAATTTGGGGCCGTCGTGAGTATACAGTGAGATACAGATCACTTGCGGTCGGCACGCTCAAGAAATGCTAGCTGTCATTACCACCACTACCACATTCATCAGAGTCTCCTTTGCCAGCTAGCGAAAACCCAGGGAGTTCAAGGGTTGGTGTTGGCATTTCCGAGTCCTCTCGAAGGTGCAACTTTCCAATGTCTACCTCAACTTGGAACCAACCTCTCTGCTAAAGTCTGGTTACTGCCTGCTGAAGTTTGCACGTGTTTTTCTCACCATGTCTTCAAAGTTCAAACGCCTGACCCGAGCTTATATCATGTGTCCTAAAGTTGATCCTCCTATTTAAAAAATTAGCCCTTTCCTTCTTAAAAGGTCAAGCCCTCTCTCCTAGTTTATTCTGCACACTGGTGTCAGATTGCCAATTTACGCTAAATGATCTGACAGTGGGTCTTGAGGGTAACGTCCATATTCTTAGACCTCAAAATCGACATGTAAGAATGATGGCTTTGCTCCCAGACACAGGGTTGCTCCTCCTCATTCTAAATGCTACCATACCTGTGGGACTTTTCCCGAATTCATTAACTCAATCATTTATCCATTCGTTTAACGAACTTTGGTCCCAGTGGTGCAAAGCTGAATAATGCATGGCTGTTTCTAATCTTCAACTAGATTAAGTTCTGTAAAAGAAGAAACTGGACATCATCAGTGTCAGGGATCGGGCTTTAAAGTGGCCCCCACCATCAAAACTGCTTTTTGGGTTCTTGCATCTGCTCTCCTTTCTTGACCCAGGATCAGTCAAAACGTAGGAGTCATCCATTCACCTGCTTTGCTCATGCATATTCGTGTTTAAATTTCTTCATGATTCTTACCATACACTGCAGTTCTTTGTGCATAGTAATTCTGAAATTTAAAAATATTTCACACATACTAGAGAGTGAACACAAATGCTGTTGATCAATTCTTTGCCCAACCAAATAGTAGACTCAGTTGTTGGTTATCAACACACACATACACACACACGTGAGAATAGGCACACACATTCCCTGGGACTGTCTCTAATCCTCTTGAGTTCAGGAAGGTAATCAAACTTCATTCCAAAGAGGAAGCCAATAAGAACTGGTTTAATATAGTTCCCTTAGGCTCCAAAATTTTGTTTGAAAGGCCAATAATCCGGGCGCATCTCTCTCATGGTCATTTCTAGGCAGGAGGAATACAAATGGGAGTAAGAAAATGAACAAGGAATGCTTGAAAAATTAGACATGAAGTAGGTTTACCTACAGAGGACACCTTTTGCCGAAAGCATGATCAGACTTATATCCAACAGCAAACCCCTTGTCACTGTGAATTTATACTTTTAGATTATTATTAAAGGTATTTTCACATTCTAGAATGAGCATACTCTCATACTACAAAAACTACATGAGTAATTTAAAAAACCTGATGAAGGATAGTCCTTTAAGAGTTGGGGATCACAGGGTTCAGGGGCTCAGTGAGAACTTTAATAACTTCCCACACCATCCTAACTTTGAGTTCATTTCCCAAAATGAGCCTCTACAATCACTGCATTGGCTGTGTGTGTGACACACAGTCCTATGAACTGGGAAGACACTTCTTTCAAAAGATACTCTTTCTCCCAGTACAAACATCCGGCAAGTGTGCTGTATACCTTCTCTCCTCCTATCCAAGTAACCTGCTTTGTGTGCAAAGCCTTTGACATTTATTGAGAGGTGAATCCTCAACTAGAAACATTGATTTCCAACCCTCAAGAGGAAATGTCAAATTAAGCAAAAGTTGGATTCTTTTAAAAAAATGTATTGTGGTGAAATACACATAAAATTGACCATCCTAACCACTTCTAAGTATGCAGTTCAGCAGTGTTAAGTATATTCACATTGTTGGGCCATTAACCTCCAGAAATGCATCATCTTGAAAAAAGAAAACTCTATATCCATTAAACAAAGCTCCCCATTCCCCTTTTCCCCAGCTCTAGGCAACCACCATTCTACTCTCTGTTTCTATGAGTTTGATACTCAAACCTCATACTCATACCTCATGTAAATGAAGTCATAAGATTCATGTCTTTTTGTGACTTGCATAATTCACTTAGCATAATGTCTTCCAGCTTCATCCAGAATTTCCTTCCTTTTTATGGCTAAGTAATATTTCATTGTAGGTATAGGTCACATTTTCTTCAGCCAGTCATTCATTGGTGGGCATTTGAGTTGCTTCCACCTTTTGGATACTGTGAATAATGCTGGTGTGATATGAATGTACAAATATATGAGATCCTGCTTTTAATTGTCTTATTTATATATCCCTAAATGGAGTTACTGTATTGTTTGGTAGTTCTATTTTTAATATTGAGGGGAACCACCATTTGAGATGTTATTCTTTGATACCTGAGTCTGGAGTTGGGAGGAGAAATCCAAGCTTGTGATGGAAATTTGAGACTCATCAGAATATGGATACAAGAACATTCGAACTTCAGTAGGACTTTGCAGGCAAGAGGAAAATGAAGACGAGTTTTTCAGTTTGTATTTGTGGTCCTCAGTATGAAAATACATGAACTTGATTTTGCCAATTCACAGCAGGATAATCTGGCTTTGGGTACTGATTTTTGTAGTAATCAAACCAACAGGAGTCTCTGATAACAAGATAAGGCTCATTCATAACTGATAATGCTCAGTTAATTTAGCTGGATAACTGAAATGCTAAATTAACTAATAGAATTAGGATAATCATAGAATTGGGATAAGAGAATCCATAGGTCAGTTTATACTCTTAGTAGCAGGAAATCTACTTGGGAAACTAAACCATCATCAATAGGTGGTTTGTTGACTATAAAATTTAAGAAAAGAAAAATGGAATGTGTGACTCTAAAGGCTCTAGCAGTTGAATACACCCGCCCTCAAAGTCTACTTGTATAGCATTCTACCTGCCACGTGGCTGAGAAAACCTTGGCTGAGCAGAGCATCCTCTTGGATGAATACGGAAAACTACTTCTCTTTACCCAGCTCTCTGTTTTCTAACATTCACACCCACCTGTCATTACCACCTCCTTTAAGTTGCCTTTCTGAGAGTCTCAAGAAAAGAAAAATGAAAGGAAAAGAAGAGCTTCAGTTGGTTTGATAATAACTCAAAAAGTAGCTTTAGTTTAAGCTAACTAAAATGCAATTTCTGGCTAACACCTGGTCACCTTTTAGAGACTCATGTTAGCGGTCAACTCCAGCAGGGCGTGTTCTCTGATTTCTCTCTACTGTCCCTATCACTGTTAGTTCAGGGATTGAACCTGCACCCTTGACAGGGAAACTGGGGAGTCCTAACCATGGACCAGCAAGGAATTCCCTATTCATTTTTTTTTTGTTATCTCTTTATGTGTCTGGCTTCCTTCGCTGGGCTGTGAATTTCTAAAATTCATCTTTCCATTCCCAACAGTGAATATAAAGTCTGGCACATAACAGTTGCTCAAAAATCAATGTTTGTTTAATGGGTAAAAACTACACAGTGTAACTACCAGAAACTCGACAAATTATTTATGCAGTTAATGAAATCATGCAATGAGCTAGTACTGAATGCCTGAAATTTGGTAGACAATACATACTCTGTATAGGGAAAAATAGTAAAAGGGGTTTTTAACAGGAAAAATACCAGAGCTCAGTGAATGGACACATTTCCCAGATAGAAAGAACATTATAAATTAGGCCAGTTTATCTTAGCCTCAATTCTTCAAAGGTCAAAAGAGTCCTGGGCCACTTTCATTTTTCTTTTTCTTTTTTTTTTTTTTTTAGATTATCACTAGAAAAAACTTCACAGGATCATGGTTGTGACATATAGTACATATATATTTCCAAAATTAATAATTTTAATAGAAAAGAGGGGCAATAAACACAGCTGTGCTATTTACAAGCTAATGTAGCCCAAAGTGGGGTTTGGCTGCTCACTGCTCAAAAGTCAAAAAAAGGCCAGGTTGGTGGAAGGGGAAGGTTGCTTTATTTTGGATGCTGGCAACTGGTGGTGGGGGTAACGTGAGGCGTGGCAGACTCCTAGCCAAAAGCTGGCTCCCGGCCCCCAACCAGTGGGCAGGAGCTTTTATAAGCTGAGGGAGTGGGCTGCTTGTAGAAACAGCACAGTCAGCTCTGACCATCATCTGGAAACTGGTCATCGATGGTCTGACCAGGGTCATCTTGACTGTTATAAGTACAGTTACTTTTCAGTTCCAGGGTCAGTTCGCTCCCATTTCTTTGAGGCCAGTTCTTATCATTGTCGCAGCTTATGTCATGGCCATAGTCTAGTCATCATGTAGTTAACTTCTACTTGGTGGGGGTTTCAGTATCTACAAGAAGGCTCACACGATATGGCTCAGAATATAGCCCTTGAGCAGAATGACAGGTCTTTAACTATGCTTATTGACTAAGCTATCATTATTGTTTAGTCTTGTTGGGTTGTTTTCTTTTGTTTCTGC